GCTATCAGAATGTCAACCAGCACAGTTAATCAGGTTGCTGTTAGGTGATCCAAATTGTTTAGTTGTCCTTCAGTAAACACTACTTCTCCAAGTTAAGCCCCTTCTCTACTGCCGAATTTGATAAGCATTTACTGCTTCCTGTTAACTCATTCAAGGCACGAAGAATCTTCGAATTTTTTATTGAATGCCGCTAACTTTAAGCGTTGAAGACGATACGTGTCGGCTTTTACAAGTGGTTGTTTGAGATTAGAAAGTGTTCATACACTAAATTCATTGGCTCAAACTTAATGTTTTGAGCATGAGATCCAACGATCACTTGGAGGTTCAGTGCATGTACCTGTTGTAGAGAGGTATATAGAAACAAATCAACGTTAGACATTTACTATTCTATCAGAGCTTTTCAGATGACTAGATACTGTAAACCAGTTTATATTAACCTTGGTGACTAGCAGAGGAATCCAGGACGCAAGTTTCATCTCATTCGAGTCTTGTCAGCTGGGTGTACCTGCACCCCAGTGCGGAGTTATATTATTCCCACTGGGGCTCAAACCCAGTAACCTTCGCTTCAAACGCCAGAGCGTTATCCACTAAGCCACTAAGCACGATAACCACCTCTTGCGCAACCGGCATCCAATTTTGTTTGTTAATCCCACCGTAGGAATTCACTGGGCTAAAGAGCGTAGCAGTAGGCTAACTGGATTGGAAAGAAGAGGAGCAGGAGAATTAGAAGTCCCAGTATTGGTTCAAGCATGTTAAGAAAGTTTGAAAATGTTTTTCATAGTATTGTGTTCTATCAGTTGAATGGTTTAATGATTAATAGATTAAATCACCCTTCTGAGCTACAAATATTCTCCACATCTTACAGTTTTAAAATCTGGTAATACTTTGTCGAAAAGTTTCGAAGTGTCATTGAGTAATCAAATAAGTGAAACAGCCGAAGAAACTTTGTTTCACTGTAAAGCACTACATGGAATGGAAGGACAACCTAGAAGGTTAGGAATGGAGTGTCTGTAAGTCTCGGTTTGATATCCATCATGAACCAACATTGGTTGGGGAAACATTGGTAACCTAGGAGCACTGGTTAGCTGCTCCGTCCTAGTTTGGGACTTCTCAACAGTGCACACACATGACCCCACCCCACCAGGGATCGAACCCAGAGCCTTCAGGGTCTGCGTTCAGCACGCTACATTGAACCACTAGGTCCTCATCGAGTGGTTCGTGTTTCGCACTTCTATCAGTTTACGATGTGACGCAATCTCTACCCGATGCCGTAATTGAGTCACTGTCCTCATGTTCGACTTGGTTGGCCCCAATGGTCACGACTTCTGATTGGAACTTCAGGAATCACCTGTCGAAGCTAGTCACCAATGAGCACTAAATTAACTCATTTTGAAGGTTTGAGGGGATTCAATAATTTCAGGTTGGTATTCATAATCATCTGTAAATCCCCAGTCAGCTGAGAAAAAATCTAGTTTTGTATCGTTTTCAAAGTTGTGGTGTTTTTTAAAGTGGAAATTTAGAACCCCAAAGAAATATGAAAGCAATGGAAGCCTTAAGGGCGCTTCCAACATATGGTTTCATTGTCGACGTTCTCAAAAGCCAAGGCATATATCAAGTGGATTGCGTAATAATAAATAGGTTTGGTATTGCCACAAGTCGAATCACTAGTCCCCATTTTATGTAGCTCGTCTAGTCACCACTTATATCTTAAAATACTTTACCACATTTTTACAAGATCTTGAGCGTTTCTGCAATGACTTCCACCCCCTCCTGCCTCACTTGACCTATATTTCGTGCTTTTTGGCACTCATCAGCAAGACATATCTGCAAGCTCTATGAGACTGATGTTCCACCTGAGATATAAACTTGTGTCGCCTAACGTTGAGGTTAGAATCTTATCATTTCCGTAGAGGTTATAGGTAGGCCCTGCTGATGAGTGCCAACAGCCACGAAACCTGAATCGAACAGGGCTTCCTACCGATTACCTCCATCCAACTAACATCTGTCAAAGTACGTCGTGGTGGTGAATCTCCTAGCTTGGCGACCATGTTGTAAAATGACTCACTGAATTAGATCAGCACTCGAGCAGGACTAGAGAACATGAAGTTGGTTGCCCTCCAGTAATGACTTGATGGGGAGTGATTTATTCAGCTCTAGAATGCAGACTATGATGCAGGCAAAAAGCATCCAGCTAATAATAAGCTCTCATCTAGGTCATAGATACTTTGCTCAAGTGGACGAGTAGACGAGTGTGTAGCGGTAGTTCAGTCAACCAGCCAGGTATTCTGGAAGGGAAGAAACAAGGGAAAAAAGTGAGCCTTTAACTCATTAAGTACATAGAATGTACTCACGTTTAAAAGATAGTCGAAAATAATTAATAGCGCACAAACAGAAGTGAAAGGTAATCAGGGAATCAAACTTGGAGATGAACTGAGTAAGTTTTCATAATATATCAAGCAGGTATTCTATATGACACAATGAAATATTACTCAGTTTTCCTTAATGACGAAGACCACAGTCATCTGGTTGTTGACTAATATCTAATGGAATAATTCGTAATCTTTTAACTATGAAAGAAATCCGTTTTTCAATTCAATAACAATCAAAAGACACCATATAAAGTTCCATCTCGCAGAACTATTTCAAATCAACGAACAGCAGAGGATCATTTCCTCATAGTTTGGGGATTCCCTGACCAAACGTACTTCTACTTGATACTGGGCAATGGTTGAAGGTGAAATTAAAATTTGGACGGTGGCGGGATTCGAACCAGCAACCAATAGGTTACCAAATGAGTTACAGGGTCCAACTTCTGACCAGACTTTTTGTTCCATTTCAATCACTAAGGGTTTTGCCTGACTACCATCTGAATTCATGACTTGTTCCCATCGCTTGATCGTACTCACACTGGTTGGTTCAAATCCAGCCGTGGTTCAAATTTTCATCCCACCTTTAGTCATCACCCAGCATAAATACTAGTCCACCAAATCATCGGTATCTCAGATAGCCAAAATGATAAAGAATAGGATGGTTCCCCTCTCTAATTCAGTTACATTTAGATTAAGATGAGAAGTCCGGACTGGACAGCCAGTGTGAGTATGATCAAGTGGTAGTAAAGCGTCCCGGATGTACACAGATAGTCGGGCAAGACAACTCCTGGTGGTTAAAGTGGAATAAAAAGTCTGGTCAGCAGTAGGACCTCATAGCTCAGTTGGCAAAGCATCGGGCCGGAAACCCGGTGGTCTCTGGTTGAAATCCGGTCGCTGTCCAAATTTTCATTTTATCTTCAATCATTATCCAGTATCAGTGTCAATCTGGCAAACCACAGCTATCTCAGATAGTCAGAATGGTACTTTTGAAGATAGTGAGCAGATTTACACATGGTTACCATACATAGGGTAAACATTTTTCAAACTAGTATGAAATAGACACCTAATACTCTCCAGTTTTCAAGGATACTCCAACCGACATTAATCGACGATGAAATCTCATATGCACATAGAAGATATTAGAGATCGTTGGACAACAAGAGAATACTAGTCTCAGCGTTGATGTAAAGATGGGCTCCTCAGAGCGTTAGATATCCTCCTTTTTAGAATGTCAGCGGCAGAATCATCCACCTTTGAAGTTGAGATTCATACAGAGTATTTTTTTGGCATGGTGGTAAGGTTTTCTTTGTGAGGTTTAGGTTTGACGTATTTGTCTATGAAGCATGGTGGAAGTCCGTTCCAAATCAGGATGTTCTTTAGAACAGAAACTTCTTCTAAAACATCGGGGCCGCCGATTCATTAAGTGCGAGTGGCAAGAGATATGATCAAATTTCGCTTACGACTCATAGGGACCCAGCTATTACAATATTCTTCAGTTGACTATTCCACATTGATTTTTTGCGAATTGACCTGCCTCACGTTCCCTCAGCTAATCTTGTCAGTTCTACATCAAAAAAGTGAATTTTCTATCGATTCTCTACCTCAAGTGTGAATCTAATTGCTGAGTGCCAGTTATTCAATATTTTTATAACATGATTCAAATCATATTGATGATCACAGATAATAAAAGTATCGACCATGTACAGTTTGTACAGATGAAAACCTTCTAACGTTGATTTCAAGGGTCCATTCTCCAAACTGGCCATAAAACAGTATGCTAGTAGTGGACCTAGTGGAGATCCCATGGTCATTCCATCTTTCTGTCTGTAAATCACATCATTAAATGTGAACTGAATGTTGAGTGTGCATCTAAGTAACAGTCCCTAAGGCGAGAAGCTGATATCCCAATAATTATGTTCTTATCTTCTATTTATCTTCATAAGAATTAGATAGTTTCGACAAATGGAACGTTAGTGAAGAGTGACTCGACATCAAGTGATATCATACATCTCTTAGATACATCCTTGTCTCTTGTGCAATCAACAAATCCAAAAGTGTCGTGTAGAGAGTGGAGGGCGATTCTTCTTCTTACAGGTTCTAGGATTTTGGTTAGCTATTTCGTGATTGGGTGGTAAGGAGATTCAAATATGTCTAGAATCGGATGAAGGGGTAGACCGGCCTTGTGAATTTTTGGTAGTCTGTAAAGTCATGGAATTGTGGAGCATGTTGGTTTGATGAGATCGTAGAGATTATTTTTTAACCTTTTAACCTTCCTGCTATGTTCTGCCTGATCACAATTCAGTTTCCAAACTTCTTGTTCAAACATATCTCCAATAATACTCACTCCTCATCGGTGTTTTGGTTTTTTATCTTTATTTTAATGACGACTCATTGATTGACACTATTTGTGTTGCCTGTCATGCTTGCCAAACGGTTTTTCACTATTGAATCTCTAGACTAGAGAAAAAATGTATAAGTTTTCTATTGTACAACTTTGAAAATGAAATCGCCGTAAAGAGACTCATCGCTGAAATACTTGTTCTTCCTTCAAATCATTATGGAAATATTTCACACACTGAAAAACATGTTTGTCTCTCCTTCTGAGAATGATTTTATTATTTTGCTTTTCAGTTGTTCTGCTGATGGTTGGTTATACATGGATCCTAGGATCAAGTCAATTTGTGTTACTTTGTAAGTTGTATTACACCTTTTCTTCGAGAATATATCCCATTACTTTTATGCCTTTTTATATGTTGTGACTCGGTTTCTTAGTGGGAACAAAATCACTCATTACGAGGCAAGTACACCTGGCTAAAGATTCGAAGATAGGATGGAAGGCACGCTCTGAATTCCACTGCTAGCCACAGTCCGTCAATAATATCAAAGTATAATGTTGTTTTTTCGAAATGGATGCATTTTGTGTTTTACAAATTGTCGCCCACATACAGGTCTAAGTAACCCAGTGGACACTAAGTCAAAGAGCCCACGAATCAACAATCTTATGGCTACTCCTTTTCATGCCCTTCGGTCTATTTCGGCGGTTTCTCTTTTATTTACTACAAAATGTTTTACGCATCGGTGGATAAAATGATGATTTTGCGTCAGTTGGGGAGAATTCGTTGAATGCTTATTGACCCTCGCTTTACTCTTCATTGACTATGCGATATCAGATGAACAGTTCATAGCTGCGTTATCTCATCCATACCTATCTGTATATAAGTGACTGTTTTCATGAAGACCAGTCAATGAGAGTTGTGGAAGGTATCTAAGCAGAAACACCATTCAACAGTATTTCACAAATTATACAACTTCCAGAAGCAACTAAATACTTGATACAAACAAATAATGAAATCATCCTACTATGCATAAAACACTCTAGAGTTGGTTGTCTTCAAGCCACTAAATATCACCTGAAACGCTCCCATACAGATCAGAGGGTCCCGTATCAAAAGAAGACAAGATAAAACTCATTTAAAAGAAAACCAGCAGTTTGAAACATAGAAACTGTGACATTGGAAAAACTGGACGTCATCCTGAACAACGTATATAATATCTGCAGTGGTACAACACCATGTACGGTGAGTTCTATCAACATTTGTAGATTCTAACAACGAATCAAAGCAAATTGTAGAAATATTAAACGAAGGAAGTTGATTTAACCAACATATTGATCAGGAAAGAAGGTCGTTAACAAAGGGTTAAGGCTCAAGTGGAAAAATGTTTTTCATTTAATACAGCAATATGCTATTTTCCAACAAAATAAATAACCGCAGTATAATTGGTATATTTATTTGTCCCTTGGGTTCCTAATGGAACATAGGGCTTCAGTAGCACGTTTCCAGTGCACTATGCTCTCTGAAATCTTTTGAACCTGGCTCCACCACTGCCCACAAGCTCTCATTTCTTCCTCTCACCATCTCCTTCATGTCACCCTCGGACGCCCAACTCGTCGTTTCCCATCTGGGTTCCACTCGAGGGCGTGGCCTGGCGCGTGATGTCCCCAGTCGGCCTTCTCAGTGTATGCTGAATCTATCTCCATTTCCTTCTACATATTTATTGGGCGATAGCTTTTTGCTTAGTTGGTTCGTTCCCAGAGTTCCTTGTTGCCTATTCCTGTTATTCTGGCCATCTGAACTTCAGTAACGAGCGTGGGCAGTTGTTGATGAATGTCTGTAGTTTGTTGGGGATCCCTTTCGTAACGCGCTAAGTCTCTGAGACATACAGAAGCACTGATTTGACGTTGTTGTTGAAAACCCGGATCTTGTTCACGCTTTATGCTGAGTGCAGTGCAGTGCAGTACATCTCCACACTGGTTTCAGGCTAATGAACACCTGTCTAGCTTTTCCGATACTGGTTTTGACATCCTCATCTGTGCCGCCTGCAGTTGAAACGATGCTGCCAAGATAGGTAAAAGAGGCTACTTCCTTTAAGTTTCTTCCATTGATGGTGATAAGAGCTTGTTGTTGCTGTTGTTGTTGGTTGGATATCTTCATCACCTCTACCTCTGTCTTCTCTACGTTCACTTGAAGTCCAGTCTTCTCTGCACTGCACTGCCCTGCCCTACCTCTTCTGTCAACTTGTTAGTTGTTGCCTGTAGATCTTCACGTTTGTGTGACATCAGACGAAAGTCATCAGCGAAATCCAAATCTTCTAGGTTCTTTTCCGCGGCCCAGTGTATCTCCCTCTTCTCGCCCCCACTGTTTGTTGCATAATCCAGTCCACTACAAGCAGGAATATCATGGGGGAAAGTAGGCAACCTTGTTTCACTCCTGTCTTCACTTCAAAAACATCACTGAGCTTCCCATTGTGAATCACTTGGCATGGGGTTCGTTTATATAGTTGTTGAAAGAGGTTGATAAAGGTTTGTGGTATACCGTATTGTTGAAGCAGCTGCCAAATTATTTCCCGGTCGACGCTGTTGAAGGCCTTCTCAAAGTCGATGAAGTTGAAGTAGAATTGAGTTGGCTGCCATTCTATGCTCTGTTCTATGATGATGCGCAGCGTAGCGCTGCAGTTTGGTCTGCACATGGTTTATACTTCCTGAATCCAGCCTGTCTGTTCCGGTCGTAGTTTTGAATCCAGTGCATCCTTTAGTCTCTCCAAGATGATACTGCTTAATATTTTGCTTGCTTCGGGTGGACAGGAGCATGATTTCGCGCCAGTTCTTGCGAAGACAACTAACCGCAGTAGCCGATCCATTTATGATTGTTAGAAATTAAGAAACTCATCAGCTTCACATTTTTGTGGAACTTTCCCGGAGCATGATATTGAACTTAATGGTGAAATTATGGGAATCAGAGGAATCCAAATCAGCGAAAACCATACAATGTTACAATTATTTCTGAAATTTAGTTCGAAATTTGTAGGAATTTATTTTTTCAAAGTAGTTTTCAATTGGAAGGCCGACTGGGGACATCACGCGTCAGGCCCTCGAGTGGAATCCCCATGGGAAGCGACGAGTTGGACGTCGGTACCGAGGGTGACATGGAGGAGGTCGTGCGAGGAGGAAATGAGAGCTTCTGGGCTGTCGTAGGACCAGGTTCAAAAGATCTCAGAGAACAGAGGTCACTGGAGGCGTGCTACTGAAGCCCTATGTTCCATTAGGAACCCAAGGGACTAATAATAATAATAATAATAATAATAATAATAATAATAATAATTTCAATTAGAGAACCATTGAAAGCCTAGAAGCTGTGGACGTCAGCCGTTTCGTCCAAGTACGGGATTACCTCAACAACACTGGTGTATCCTTGTGGTGGATATATATAATTATATATAGGTGGACTCTTGAACAATAACCTTAAAGTTCACCAACGACGGTAGTTAGGTCCATCGAAAACAGAAAAGAAACACCTGAGACTCACACGTATGATTACGTGGCATTTTGCTAACACTTGGCATGCTGTGATTGGCTGTGAAGGCTTTGCGGGGATATTCAGGCGTATTCGAGGAATCTAGAGGTTACTGTCGAACCTCATAGCAGGCATGCACCCACAACCCTGTTTTGGGTCTAACCCAAGACTCCCGAATCTTGCGGCGAAGGTGTTAACCATTCAGCCACTCTGTTGAAGTTTAGCGGATTGCTACTTCTGTCAATTTGTGATGTAGCTTAACTGTCCACCAAGATCTTCAGTTGGTGCACTTCACTGGAGAATGGTTGATTCCACAAGACATGGCTTGTCATCATAACTTCGAGATAACCATTTCAAAGGATGTCTGTAACGGGTACTGGACAGTAGTTTAGTCTGAGGTTTATGGAGTTTATCTCAATGTACTATTTCTCAGTTATACAAAATGAGTATAAAAGGAAGTAGTGTTGTATAATTTTGTCCAACCAAACTAGAAAGCCAAATGACTAACTGATCGATCTGTGTTTTAAGTCAGCTTCAATCATATCGTCATTACCGATAGAATCAACGTTAGCTGTATGTATATGTATGTCCATATATATGTCTGTGCGTATTTAAGCGACTGACGTCAGCTAAATGGCGATCTATTGAATGTTAGGTATGTTGTTGTCGTTGTGTGCTTTCGGTATGCTTGCGATGTATGATTCTTATGTGATGTAGTCTTACTTATTTCTGGAACAATTCATTCGTCAATTCTCGAAATAATTTTACTCAAATTTTCGGCTTAGCTTCCAGTTCTAGGCTGAACATCGTCTGTTTGGACGCCATCGTCTTCTGACCCGGGGGATTGGTCCCCTCAAAGAGTAAGAAGCATATTTAGCAGCGCAACCGTATGAAAACAAACAATCCTGCCAAAGCACACTGTTAACACTCCCTCAGAAATGACCACTGAATCCTTCCCCCTAAACTTTCAGGCTTCAGTCTATCTGCATCTTCTAGTAATCAGCTTGTTGACCATACTCGTTACCCTGTGGGCAGATGTGCATAGGACACATCTCACTGATTACCCACATTCTTGCTGAAACCGATGTAGCACACCTCTCCAGAAGAAACGGAGGTTCCACTTAGGCTCCCTGAGAAATATGCTCCGGCTACAGGGAACAATACCCATCATTCCGGTCCGAATACCACCCCGCGTTCACAAGGTAAACAACGCTCCCTCTCTTAGGACTGCCTCAATAACAGTGACTACTGAAGGTCATTCCTGAAGCTCCAATGAAAAGTCGTGACCGTTAGGGTAAACCTGGTGGCCGTGAGAACAAATACTCAACGATGAATTGACAGGAGTTGGAAATATGAACCATTGGGTTCTGATACAGTGGCTCGGTTGTGATGTGCTGACCAAGGAACCTGGAGGTCCTGGGTTCGATCCCTGGTGGGGAGGAGTCCTAACTAGGAGAAGACATCTATCTAGCGCCCACAGGTTTCTAATGTTCTTCCAACTGATATCAGTCTATCGTGAATGCCAACTGAAAATTAATAAATCCCCACAAACCCATAAAGTAAGTTAATTAACCTAAGATATTTACTATGATACCCACGGTCACCTTGGTGAGATAGACAGAAGCTAATAAGCTTTAACTTATTTTTAACAATTGGCATCAGAAATACTTAGGAAATGAATACCTGGGGTTATTGCATGGCCTTAGAAAGCAGAAGACACTGGCTATTGTTTGTGAATGCATTTAAAAATTGAGAATCCTATCAGGTTACAATTTTTCAATTAAGCCCATCTAGTCATTTGTTGTCCTGTTCCTAAACGATATCGTCAAGATACTGAAAAGCGGAAAAACATACTGTAACTCAACCACTGCACTGAAAATTGAAGAAAATTACTTGCTGATTGTCCTGGAAAGTGGATTGTTGCCCAGACAACTTCATGAATAGGTGTCAGTCCAATTTATCATCAACTATGAACTACTTGTAAGTTTACACATTCTCTGCAGCTTATTTCTAATGCAAATGAAAGGAGATCAAAATAATGATCATTACAATGGTAACTACAACAATTATAATGAATAGCACATTGAGCAAAGAGGTAGTCATCTACATCTTCGTTTGTATGAATATCAGTCAGCGATTAAGCATCACAATAGATAGCATCTGGTAGGAATCCATGTTGACAATCATGGATATGAAGTTGAAAGTCTTGAATAGAGGAAATCGAAAAAATACTAAGAATTTCTGCAAGCAACTATCAAATGTATCGATAAAGACTCAACCAACACCTACAAGGTATAGGTCAGGTTGATAAAAGACCAGTAAGAAAATGTGTGTCGTCTAAGAAAAAAGGCCGATCACATGCCACTTCATCAGGATGTAACACAAGTGTCTTGCTGGGAAATTGAGGGGTCAGTACTGACGATCTTGTCTGGAAAGACTAAAATGGCTTCACCACTAAACTATCCAGCTGAAAGAATGTATACACCATCAAAATCTCGGTGGTGTTTATCATTCACAGTTGAATTTACTGGAATAGCAAATGAAGGGAACACAGTAAGTTTCAAGAGTGATGGTGATATACAAGAAAAATTACTGAGCCTTAAGGTTTAGAAGCAAGAAAAGGTGTTCAGGTGCTCTAAAATGTTTAACTGGGAGAAATTTTTGCTAAACAGTAAAACAGAAGTTATTTGATTGTTTATCCATTACCATTCTCACTTTTATTTCAGATGGGCTGATTGGATTCCTCTTTATCAAAGAAAATTCCAGTGTCCTGACTTACCACCTGGTTATTCAGATATCGCCAATACTGAAGCTGGCAGTAGCACTGGTGGAGTCAGTGGGGGTGTCAGTGAGACAAACAATGAACTAAAACCTTTACTTGAACGAATAAATATGGCTAACAGACAACAGGTTCCATCATCCTATTCAACAATGACTACACCTAATCCGTTATCATTAATGGCACGCTATCAGTCAGAACGAACCAATCAAGTGAACAGAGTTAATCCTCAATATTGGGATGGAGACTTGGGCTTAATGCTTCCACCGAAATTGATAATCCCCTCTGCTGAACAACACTTATACGGGCCAAGAGATAATGTTCATCTTTACGGTCGTAATTATCCAACTGATAAAGACTTTGTTCAAGGGATAAAAAGTGATCAATGGTTACAATTATCCCAGTCACAAGCTGATATTTATCGTCATATGACGATCAGTTCCATAGTCACAGGATCAATAATAATTCCTGTAATAGTGGTAAGTTTTCGTGATAGCGATTTCAAAACTGTTACTTTTATAGTATAATGCACTAAATTTGCCGGCTCGTGAAAGTCGATTATATATGCACACCCATAAACACACACACACACATACATACATACATAGCTTAGTTCTTCATGATTATTAAAGATTGGATGGTTCCTGATTGGTAACCAATGTTATACTATGATTGCTTTGATTCTGCTAAAGAAAGTAGCTCAAGAACTCACCCTAACTGCTTCCTTCACTTGGTACAAGACTTCTGAAAGCAGTAAGCAGAAAGTATAATGTTCATGAGCTTTTAAACGTCTGGTGGATGTTCATTCGAAAGAAGTGAAAGACTTTTCATACGTAAGTATTAAAATCTAATTGTTCAGAAATGATCTCAGTAGGATTATCAGTGACATTTCAGTCATGCTTCAGAACTCAATGTTTGTTATGCACTACCTAGTTCATACATGGTTAAATGCAAACTTAAAGTTCTTTAAGCAAACCACAAGATCATTTTTAGATCCACTTTCTTAATCGGTTCAACTATAAACCCAGCAATCTATGACCCAGTGGCTCAATGTTAATGCGCTGGCCGCGGAACCTGCAGGTCGTGGGTTCGATCCCTGCTGGTGGGTTCGTGGGTGCGCACTGTTGAGGAGTCCCATACTAGGACGAAACAGCTGTCCAGTGCTCCCAGGTTTCCTTTGTTCCTCCAACTGATGTCAGTCTACGATGAATAACAACTTGAAATAATTCCAAATCTCCACAACTCCCTCAAAATTTAATTGAACTGGTGCTCATTGGTGACTAGCTTCGAGAAGTATTCCCGAAGTTCCAATGAGAAGTCGTGACCGGTGGAGTCAAAGCCTGATGGCTATGAGGACAGATACTCAGCGATGACATTGGGTGGTGGTTGCTCTATATATCGTGAGCTAACAGAAGTTGGAAATATGGAGCATTGAATTCTGACCCAGTTGCTCAATGGTAACGCGCTGGCCGCGGAACCTGCAGGTCGTGGGTTCGATCCCTGCTGGTGGGTTCGTGGGTGCGCACTGTTGAGGAGTCCCATACTAGGACGAAACAGCTGTCCAGTGCTCTCAGGTTTCCTTTGTTCCCTCAACTGATGTCAGTCTACGATGAATAACAACTTGAAATAATCTATATTCACGTTTCTAGTATCCATAGTCAACATCATAATGACATTATACTAAGTGTCAATAAATTAATATTTTATCCACTGATTGACATGTTTTGAAGGACATCAAGAGGGTCACAGCAACTCTTGATATGAACTGAACTCAACAGTAGACCTTGAAATATGACCTAAACGTTGTACTTACAACTGATATAAACAATATTCAGAAAGTTATCCTTGATAAAATTGTTTCAAAAATGTGACCTCTTGGTTCAAGTAAAATAAAATGTCATCAAGTCAGTCATGAACATCAGAATATGCTACAATTGAAGTTTGGCCAACTATAGCATAATTTCAAGTTGTTATTCATCGAAGACTGACATCAGTTGGAGGAACAAAGGGTGCGCACTGCTGAGGAGTCCCATACTAGGACGAAACAGCTGTCCAGTGCTCCCAGGTTTCCTTTGTTCCTCCAACTGATGTCAGTCTTCGATGAATAACAACTTGAAATATTTCCAAATCTCCACAACCCCCTCAAAATATAGTATAATTGTTTTTATATCGTACCGTGGTTGATTGGACTGACTTGATCGGTTTCTATTGGCATATGGGCTCATGTGCGGATGCCTCAATATTGCCTGCGTTCTGATCATGTTAATAATGGATCGTAGTAAACGCAGCAAACCAGCATATGTTATTTAATATTTAGTGTTGGTCAAATGCAATACAACAAGCTGGTACCATGGTCATGCACCTAAATAATATGACAAGTCTCGTACTGTTTTTTGATGTTTGTCATCAAGATTGGGATGTAGAAGATACACCTTATTAAGACTTCGAACTTGCTAGCAGTCATCATCTGTGTGTGCAGTCACATATTTCAAAACAGATTGACACCCATGTCTCATAGCTATCACATTTGAAAAGTTTTGATGTCAGTTTGTCCATATATATTTATGGTTGATAATCACTGTCGTGTTGCCTAGTATGCCTGGATCACTAACAACTGGAGAAGCTTAAGAGTGATATCCATAAAGGTCACTGAGAGATTCTCTACTGAGTCTACTAAGCAGGATGGACTTTATAAAGGTTACATTGTTAGTAACCATGAGTTCTGAGTGAAAAATATCTCTCAGCATTCCATGTGACATCTAATTCTAGAATAGACTCTTAGCAATCACAATGTTCCCCTTTAGGTAGGTATAGTTTACTAATCATCGAATAATTTATGTGCTGCACATAAAGTGTGTACTCTAGATGAAACTATCCAACCACTAAGAAAGAATTAAAATGGAGACGTGGATCTGAAACCCAGTGAATGAGGTTTTAGTATCTGAGACTAAGTTAATGTTAAAAGTTCGTGATTAATGTTGACTAATTCTCATGGATCAATGCGCCATAAGCCATAAGTTTCGGTAACTAACGTTTCAATTTTGGAATGTAGAACATCTTTACACTAAACTTCATGAGAAAGTGAAAATGAATAATCCCCTGTAAGTTTCTGAACTTTGTGTCTCAACGACTGTCGCATATACTGATATCTAGCTATGTTAGTTGACTGGAGGCGATCGCTAGGAAACCTTGGACTTAGGTTTCGGGCTTGTCGGGACTAGTCAACAAGGTGTATCTACAACTTCAATATCGCGCCTCAGATTCAAACCCACGTCAGCGATTTCCCCACCGAACTATTCGGGCAGCGATTCACCTCCTAAAGGACTGGGTTACATGCTTTAATTGGGCACGGGATAGCTTTCTTTCATCTACCCAGTTTGTTAGAGAGTAGCTCCAAAAGAACAGAACACAGCAATGGGGTAGAATGAAATTTAAATTTCGTACACTATCCAGGTATAACGTCAATCAGATTGACCCGAAATGAGCTGAATAAGCATGTGGCATTTAGATTATTTCAGTATGACCAACCATAGGGAATGTTGATTCGATCATTATGCTTTTTAACTACTCGCGTTAATCAGTAGTATGTTAATTGAAGTTATTCTTGGCGCCTAGCAAATAACAGTTTTTTTGAAACTGCTTAGTATTTTAAAATAAACAATAATTTTTTTTGGATATAGTTCTTCATTTGCTGTTCACTGTTTTTTAGATTTGTTTTGCTGAAATCAGTTTCTATTTTTTCAACTGTTGTCAAATGTGTCTATCGAGAAATAACTTGAAACCCTGGGCAACTATGAAATTTTTTGGTCGACTTTACCGTCTACTCAGTAAGTTCACATTATTATATAACCCTTCTTCCTTCACTGACTTTACCGGTGTGTTTAGTACATCTTAAATCTTACATTATGGTGTAACTAACAAGTTCTAATTGGTCGATTTCAACTCAGACGATTTTCATTGAGATGAGAAAAATGTAATTTAATACATCTAAAGCTGCCAGTTAGGTTGTTACAGGCGCTCAGCAAAAAGTATTCCACTTAACATCAGTCTCCTAACCAGAATGCAAAATGATCGGTTTAATTCAGAGTCAGCACTTTGGAATAAACGATATAAAACAGTTTTCTTTCTAGTGACCAGCCAATACATTTTGCCATCTTTCATTAGACTGGTGCTTACAGGAACTGACTGATCGTACACTAGATTTTATCACATACTGATATCATTGACTGGGAAAGCACTGTTCACCCATTTTTTTCTAGCTTGGAAATCCTCAGTAGTGTATACCAACAACTTCATGCAGGAGTAAAGAAAGTTAACTGTCGTTGACACTGGATGATAATTACATTACATTGTTAATGGTTTGGCCGTTCAATCCCAATCTACAGGAAGAAACGTAACGTACCCATTATACTACGTAGATTTCCTGGACTCGGCCAAAACTGAGGTCAATTGTGTGCACAACTAAGGGGTTTGTGATTTGAGTGGGACATCTATCCAGTGCTCTCTGGTTTTAAAGACCACGTTGGCGAAAATTATCTAACTCAAACATAATTCAGCTGTACTAATTGGGTACCCTTCAAATACATCTCTTAAGGATCTGATGCTTAGCTGTCACCTTCGTGGCCAGCCAGGTAGGTAGGCAGAATGGATGTCACCTTACAATACTGGATAATAGTGAAGCCACATTGTGAATGACACGTCTTATTGCTGAATGAACACTCGAAGCCCAAAACAGTACAGTCCCAAGAAGGCATTCTTCATTGAATATTGGGAAAAAATGTTGGTTTAACAAGTGTCTGTTTTAGAAAAACCATCTACAAACAAATTAAAAGACAAATAAACTTGCTTAACACTAGTCTGTTTCAACGTTACACTTTGTTCGATCACATGTTTCATGAAGGTGTTCTAGTAACTAAATCTAGGAGGAGTGAAGACGAGCGTATGGAACATATTTTTGTACGAATAAACGAAGACAAAGATGCAATTCAGTACTTAACTGAACTGGTTCAATATGAACGACACTGTGACGCCTAAGAATAACGAGAAATTAGGCAACTTTACACCCAACCTCTGGATAAATGAACAAAATGATCAAAGGTATAACTGCACTGAAGCAAAACATGTACATATCGCTAAATTTTCAAAATCTAGATAGCTACGTTTATCTTTTGTACTAACCGTGTTTCTAAGTGGATTATCCGGACGGCACTGAACACCGTTCCTATCGGATGAGTTAACTTGTTTCCTCAGGTGACTTTAAAAGTCTCGTAGTTAAGCTTATGGGTTTCACATCTCAGAAATTTATCTGCAGGCTATTTCAAATAGCTCCAACAAAAATGGAAGTCCTAAACGCCATAAAGCTACTGAAATGTGGGGAAGTAGCAGGACCAGATGGAATACCGCCAGAAGCACTGAGAGCAGACGCGGAGACAACAGCGGACATGCTCACACCACACCACTATTGCAGAAGGTGTGGAAGGAAGAGAAGGTACCTGGCCATTGATTGGAAGAAGGGTTACCTTGTCAAACTGCTGAAGAAGGGAGACCTCAGTGTTTGCAAGAACTGGCAAGGAATCACTCTCCTGTCCACCCCAAGTGAAATATTAAGCCGCATCATCCTAGAGAGGCTTAAAGATGCACTGGATTCAAAAGTACGACCGGAACAGGCAGGCTGGATTCAGGAAGTACAAATCATGTACAGACCAAATTGCAACGCTTCCTATAATCATAGAACAGAGTATAGAATGGCAATCAGCTCTCTACCTCAACTTTATCGACTTTGAAAAGACCTTTGACAGCGTCGACCGAGAGGTAATTTGGAAACTGCTTCATTACTACGGAGTACCGCAAACCTTTATCCGCCTCATTCAACAACTATATGAAGATGCCACATGCCGGCCAAGTAATTCACAATGGGAAGCTCAGTGATGCCTTCGAAGTGAAGTGAAGACAGGAGTGAAACAAGGTTGCCTACTATCCCCCATGATATTCCTGATTGTGGTGGACTGGATCATGCAGCAAACAGTGGGGGCGAGAAGAGAGGGATACAACAGCTGGACTGCGGAAAAGAACACAGAAGACTTGGATTTCGCCAGTTATGACTTGTGCCTGATGTCACACAAACTTGAATATCTACAGGCAAAAACTAACAAGTTGACAGAAGAGGCGAGGCAGGGCAGCGAAGACGGGACTTCAAGTGAATATAGAGAAGACAGAGATGATGAAGATACCGCACCAACAACAACAACAAACTCCAGTCACCATGAACGGGAGAAACTTAAAAGAAGTAACCTCCTTCACCTATCTAGGAAGCACTGTTTCAGCTACAGGCGGCAGTGGCACAGACGAGGATGTCAAAGTCAGAATCGCAAAAGCAAGACAGGTGTTCATTAGCCTGAAACCAGTGTGGAGATCTTCTGCACTCAGCATGTGGAACAAGATCCGGATTTTCAACACCAACTTCAGTCAAGTGAGTCAGTGCTCCTGTATGGTTGAGAGACTTGGCGCGTTACGAAGGGCATTTCCAACAAACTACAGACATTCATCAACAACTGCCTACACTCACTCGATACTGAAGATCAGATGGCCAGGATAATCAGAATAAGCAACAAGGAGCTCTGGGAACGAACCAACCAAGAACCCATCACCCAACGAATATGCAGGAGGAAATGGAGGTGGATTGTGCACGCACTGAGAAGGCCGACTGAGGACATCACGCGCCAGGTACTCGAGTTGAATCCCCATGGGAAGCGACGAGTTGGACGTCGGTACCGAGGGTGACATGGAGGAGGTCGTGCGAGGAGGAAATGAGAGCTTCTGGGCTGTCGTGGAACCAGGTTGAAAAGATCTCAGAGAACATAGTGCACTGGAGACGTGCTACTGAAGCCCTATGTTCCATTAGGAACCCAAGGGACTAATGATAATAATAATAATCCTTCTTTTTGCCTAAAGTTTTTCTACAACATCCAATCACTTCGTTTTGATTGATTTGTCTCCCCGTTAGCCCTCTTTTATATTGAGTAATAAAGTAAGGACGTAACGGGGAGGACAATTTTCTTCTCGATGTTTTCACTTAGTAAAGCTGTACAATGGTATTTAAAATCATTGGAAACAGATAACGGGCTATTGTTAACCGATGGAAACACATGATTGCTATAATGTTCAAGAATAGAACAGAGAGACAGAATAAAATTACTACTTTGGCTAGTAATATTTTTGAATACAAAGGTCAGGTTCTAGGTGGTGATTTGTCAATGATTCGCCTATGTATAGATGACGTAGTCGAAGGCTTTTGGGATTGTGGAGCGGCACTTCATAAATTACTCTGAAAGGATTACTAGGATGGGCCAGGTGTCCGGAGGCGATAAGATGCTCAAGAATAAGACTGTTGATATTTTTTCCCCTTTCTTGACAATCAAAGTGAAAAATGTTTCATAATCCCTTTATAGACTTGATGCCGTGTGTGACCAATGGGTGTTAGTTACTCAGCAGAAACAAGGAAACTGGGAAATCCACGTTGAGATGATCAAATCCAGAAATCTTTCCTTAAAGAATTGATGGATTAATTGTTGACTGGAAAATTTTATTCTTAGGCTAACTGGGTGACAATTCTTCCTAACTGACCTTTAGAGGCGAATTTTGAAGATTTCAGTTATAATATCACCTTCAAATTCCATGTCCAGCTGAAGAGTGTTTTCAAACGATAGATACCTTTCGTACTTATGGGTTTTCTGTTATATTCGAGTCAAAAAATGTAGGTTGGTAACCGTTTTCTAATAGGATGTTTCAGTGGCTGACAACTAGCATTGTCACGCAGTAATTCTAGGTTCATCCTTCCCTTTATCTGTTTGTCTATGCCAAGTTGCAGAAATGTTTGCTTAACATAGGATTTATATTGGGGTAGTATTCATCACTGACTGACGTCAGTTGGGGAACCACTGAAAACCTGAAAGCCCTGGACCGGACCCCTCAGCAGTACATAATAACGACCTGTCTAGGGACCAAACTCAGGACCTTTAGGTTTCATGGGTAACGCGCTAACCATTCAGCCACTGGATCGGTCCTTGGTGGTTCACAGCTTCCAACTCCTGTCAATTCGTGACATAGCATGGCTATCACCCAAGGTCTTCAGTTGATATCCATCTCCCACAGGTCACTGCATCTCGTTAGAACTACAGGGTATCCACCTAAAAGAATGTAATTAGTGAGCACTGCACAGCAATGTTTTGTGAGGTGAATGGAGTCTTGTTTTTGAGGTGGTTTTCATCATGGACTGGTTCTAACATTAACTTTCACGAAAGCCTTTTCGGAAGAGAATTCTCAAACTAGTTGATATTAGTGATTAAAAACCAGTCAATAGAATATTCTTTGATTAGGTTTAGCGCTTATCGTTGCTATATATCGAATCTACAGAAGTTGGAAACTATGAACCACTGAACTGCGGTCCATTGGCTGCATCGCCGTGCTACGTTTGAGTCCTGAGTTCGATCCCTAACCCAGGTAGTTGGTGCGCACTGCTAGGGAGTCCTATACTAGGACGAAGCGGCTGTCCACTGCTCTCTGGTTTTCAATTTTCCTTCAACTAATGTCAGTCCATCATGAATGCTACCTCTAAATTAAAATCCCCATTCACGTGGAAAACACATTGTTGTATAGTGTTCAATAGAATGTATATGTATGTGTATGGGATATATACATATATGATACCCGTTACACACCAGGTGGTTTTCATGCTTGAGTGACCTGATGAGCAGCATTTTGGCATTTGGAGCAATGAGTACCAGGTTCGAGTCTCAGTGGGGACAACATCACTCAATGGGGTGCAGGTACATCCGGCCGAAGAGGTCCAAATCGGACAAAACGCGCATCAAGTTGTATTCTTCTGCTAGCCGCCAAACAAACCAGTATGTGATCGTCCCTTACGTTTGTATACCAACATCAAGCAGCCCTCAATTTGTAGTTGGGACTTGATGTCCGTTCAAAATGCTCTATTCTCACCCAGTTTATAGTCACAGTATATCCATAACCTTGAGGGAACTTTAACCAGTTATGCGGTTCTCATGATTACCATTCAGGGTTACACTAAAAAATGTTGCTACCGAGTTATTCATGGTCACTAATGATGTTACTCAGTAATACATTTTTACATAGCAAGTGGTTCTTAGTGCTTCAATATGATTTTCAGTTCATATCATTTCCAACTGCAATCTCATATCGCAGTTTAATATGCACACAAATTGCTTGGTGGTAACATGAAATCAACTCCGTCTGTTTCTGCGGTGATACATATAATATTTGAAGACTAAAGATACATCCTGTGGAAATTAGAATAATTTTCCCCCTATCAAATGCTGAAGTAATTTTATTGGAATTTTGACATATTCTCGTGTTTTCTTATCCCTCTGTCTCTCTTTCTTTCAGTCACATACATTTTTGGTCTTCTTGCAACAATGCTTCTAGTCTGGCTTATCAAAGTTTCAGTTGGACGTCTTCGACCAGATTTCATTCAAATATGTCGTCCATCAGTAAATGCTTGTCCAAAATGGTATACATTGATTCAAAAAACTCGTGAATCTGTAGATGAACGCAGTGCAATTGAATCAGATCCAAGATTGTTAGATCTAATTGTTGCTCAGTTAGCTAAACAAGGTAAATATTTAGTCACAGTGGCGACTACACCTTCACAGGAGTCATCCGGCCGTCAGATACCTGATGGACTGTTAAGCAATGCAGATTGTTTGGAGAATAATATTTTAAAGCTTAAAGATGCCAGGTGAGGGTATAAAACGTCTTCATCAGTAACATGTGTATGCATTATTTCTGATGATTTCTTCATGTCCTACAATCATATATACATATTGAGGGGTTCTACATCAACAATATTGAGATTGCGCTTAACAGTTTGTTAATAATATTATCCAGTTGAGGAAATCACCTCAGCAACGTCTTATGTGAACGTTAAGGTCAGAACCGATTATTACTGGAATTCATTTCAAAATAGTTGGTTATCCATACAATTATACCTCGTAAGTAATGCTAAATGGTCATAGTGTGTTAAAACAATAAGAAGGTGTTTATAAGAGCTAGATGTAATAAGCTAAGATAATTCGAAAACAAAATCACCTGGTAGGATGTTACACATGTTGGGGGAAAAAAACAGGTTGACAGTGTGTTGAAATTATTTTAGGTTATAGGGATGAAAGGCTATCTACTATATGGAATTAGAAAATTAGATTACCTGGGGTTGGATGCTAAGAAACTTGGACCACGATAGATACAGTGGCAATACTTACTCTTTTTTGAAAACATAACTCGGTTGTTTGATCCTGATTGCTACTGCTTCACCAGTCTGAAGGATTTGGAGCTGAATACTTTATGGCAAGTTGATAGGAACCTGGTATAGGATGGAAAGTGACTTATGCATATCCACCCTACAATTCGTGTGAACCAAGTGTGGTAATTTGACGCTGGAACAATCAGACCGATAAACACAACACAACCGTAGTTGTTTCGAATTCATTTAAATATCCAACAAAAATTAACTGGTCTCAATTTAGTTTTCATTTCGAACTTCTGAGAACGTCAAAGCAATGAACAGCTGCTTTATCCTAGTTTGGAATTCTGCAGAAGTTAGTCTCTATACAAAGTAACTTTAAGTGTTGATCATAATTGGAAGTGGCTAGGTAACTGTTGTGGTAGATTCCATGGGTACATAGACATGTTTCAGTGCTGTTAACTTGTGTCACTGTGTCACAGTCTTTTGAAGTATATGGGTTTTTGTTCCTTATCTGTCCACAATATTCACTGGTCTTAACAGCCAGAAGAGAGATGAAATCAAGCTGTTTTTTTCGATTTTCTTTCAAGGCATGTTTACTTCATTTTGTATCTTAAATATGGTACTACTACTTACCTGATCTTTAAATGAGGTTTAAGTAGTATTTAGAAAATATCGTCAAAATATTGGTAAGTGCTTTAGCTCAGTAGGCGATGAGTTGGCGTATACTTTTCAAGTTAAATTGTTCAGATAGGCACTCGTCCCTTCTATGCAACTTTGAAACTGGTCAACTGTGGCGTTTGTGGGCTTTTGATTCGGTTACAGATTGCAAATCTTGCAAATGTCAATGTGAACCTCGTAAATTGGGAATCACTGTCAAAGTGACCACCCAATTTATAAAATACTAATCCAGTGAAGTCAACCAGCCAGACTGAGTTGACCTGAACAATTTACCTATGTGAAGTCGATTTAGTTGCTTACTTGGCTGATAAGCTAGACTCAGATGAATAGAATGGCATTCAAAGTTTCAAATTTTATTGAGATCTACATTGCAAAACATGCCACTTATCCCTATCAGACCATATCATATCTCCTTGTGATCCTGTCAAAGGTCTTAAGGACTTCTGAAGACAGCCCAACATATTTTCAAGGTTGTTTGTATGTATTCCAGTTGTCAGACGATCGAACTACTTCTTATGAACAATAACTTGATGCAGGTAATTTATTTCAGATAAGAGAGGGTATGGTAGTTTCTGATTCCACTCATTTTCTCATACTTAGAAAGATGGAATACTTCTGATTGGTTCTTGATCCATTGAGGTGTTCATTCTTTACATTTCTATTGTACGTACCAAGAATCTTAGGTCTGCATGTAGCTTACTTAGTTCAATCTAAGTTAACTTCATGTGCTATATTTAGGTTTCTGAACAAGTCATCTATCTGTTTTTACCACATTATCCACTCTACACAACTTCATGTTCAGCCTTCAGATGATTGTTCGGTGAATATCTCAGCAATGCTGGTACCACTGAACTGAAGAAACTTCTCTTAGTGTTCCTTTCAAAATTACAAATGTGTTAACAACTCAGTGTAGAACTAAAACCGTTATTTTTTTGGAGAATTAAATGAAATCCTTTGGAAAGTGATTCTCTTCTCAAAGATTTAATCTTTTGATAGCTTAGGCAACGAGAAATAAAACCACTTAAAGAGTTTAATGCTCATCATAGTTCATTAGCAGATTATGTAGAGTCAACAATACGGCTAGCGAACTCAAATGAATGAACTTGACCTTGACAAACAGTACCTCTAATATGATTGGTCATTCTCAGAGTTTTCTATCAACAAAGTTTGATCACTGTAAAATGGTACTTATGCCCATGACCTTTTGAAGTTTCTTAAGTTTCATTGTTTTATTAACTGGTTTGTAAACTCCAGTGCTGTAATATCCTAGTTTTGACTGCTTATAAGGGTATACTAGTTAACCTGTTATGTTGGTAGGAGAAATATCGTTTGGCGAAGGGGTTCTTCCATCAGGCCTATGCCAAAATATTCTCAAATATTTCCATCTACAAAGTTATCCATGATCAAACTTACGGATATTGTTGATGCGATGTGATTGGTGACCTAATTCAGATGACTGTCTGTATCAGACACGACTAAATGGCTATTGACTAGTTCATTCTGGAAATCTCTGTAACAGATATTAAAATCGTAGTCAGTTAAACACCCTGGATTTATATGTGAGAATGCCTCGTGACATTTTTCCATTGACAATAAAAATCAAATACCAGTTTCTTTTATATAGTGCGAAGTATAAACTCAGGTACTCTGCAAACTACATGCCAAAAATAATTACGGAAATAGACAGCTGTCAGTTTCTCATATCAGCTTGCCGGTCAGCATTATGATTTCAGCCAAAGGTTTTAGGCCCACTAACTGAAGAAGTTATACTTTTCTCTTATTGTCTAGATGAACCAGTTCAGTCAATAAGAGATATTTTACTTAGGATTTCTGTGATGAACACGTCTTATTTACTAGTTATACCTTGTTAGGGGCATGAACAACTGACATCTAGTTATATAGATCAAAATGTGACCACAGGATACATTTTTAGTCTTTGATAAGTGCCTATCCATTACTTCTATTCCGGACCACTTCCAAAAAGCTCATGCATGAGTTCATTTTACCTATGAAAATAAAATCGGTGATTTGATACACTTTCTCGATGTACTAATGATAAGAAAAGAGGATGGCTATATATATATATATATATATATATATATATATAACCGACATCTAATGCACAGTCTACGCAGTTTCTCAGCTTCGTGCCGATGAATTGCAAAAGTAGTATAATCAGTTGTCTGGCATTGAAAGTAAGATTGATTTGTTCCTAAGAGTGTGTGGAAAAAAGACTACTGTGTACCCATGATATTCTAAGTGAGAATGAATATCCAAATAAGTTCATCAAAGCCATCATCTATTACATTGGTCCTTAGCGAGAATTGATAACAATGGAGAAGAAGCCTTTGTTTTTTCGTGGTTATAATTCAAGATTGACGCTCTAAATGATATTCTATCACAATGCCTAGCTATTGCAGTCAATAAAACGTTTTATGCAGGTTGTCTTAGCACATCTTTAAGTAGTCGACCAATCCTAAATCTGTGGCTACAGGATAGCCTACCTAATCTTAGCTCTTCATCTTGCATAAATCAATTTAACTCTTCTTGTGGAACAAGTTATATAGGGTGCACAACTAGCGAGGTGTATCTTCGGATATGAGAGCATCTACCGGCTGGCTTCAGAAAAGGTGGGATAAAAGTGGTGAAAAGTTCAGTCTTAACACACTTAGTAAACGCAAGGTATTGCATAGATGCTTATAAAGCTTACGATGTCATATATTGTGTGCCAAAAATGTACCACGTGCCATTGTCCAACTCCTACTCAACATATCCGAAGCTGTCGCCATAAGGTCAATCGAACCTAAACTGTGCATTCAAAAAGATCATGTTCAAACATTGTTTCTTCCTTGGCCTTCAGTAAACTGAAGACCACTCCTGTTTTCTTTATTCTTTGTCTTTACACTCATTATCACATTATTCATCTGTATGTATGCCATCATAATATTGACAGTTTAAAAACGGAAAGTCGACTTCCTTACAATCAGTCAATCTCACTTCATTTTGAAAATATATCTGCCCCTAACTTGACTTGATTTGCATAATTACTGGACCTGATGAGAATATACTGAAAAGAATATTCTTAGTTCAGATTGTTGCCTTTTATGAATATGATAAGAATCATTAGATTTTTGAAATCTTACAAAATAATTTGAGTACAGCCCACTGGAATGAATAACTTAACCTCAACGCCAGGATGTAAAGGTTAGACTGCTTACCCAACCCCCATTGGTTTATCATGGTAGTTACCTTGGAAAAAATCAGTTAACTTCTTTTCTGGTTTATCTACCGAAATTTATATAATACTGAACAGCATGAAATATTCTAAGCACTCTGCTTCAGTTCTGTTCAAAATCATAACCTACCGGCTTGAAATCAACTGGCTATATCAATGTGTTATAGGTCCATAGGAAACATCCTGTTACTGTAAGTAGCTGTTAACTGAAACAAATATGTTCGAAACGGAAGTCTAAGTAAATTTTTATACTGAGTGTTAAAAGTAATACCAGAAAAATATCAAAAGACAGTCTCCAGATAATTTGAAGAGACCGGTATAATTGCTATATGTGAATGAATGTCGTAAATTGAAAATCAGTGAACAAGGCTAATTATTACTATTGGTTGATATGCTTATAATTCTCCATTGTTTTACTGGATCGAACTGTTTGACCTCTATTTTTATATGGGCTCCTATGCCGATGTATCGTCCCAGATAGGACGAAACGCACGTCATGGATTGCTCTACTAGTCACGACCAAATAAATTACCATAATAGATATTCAGACAATATCGAGGAATCCGCTTAGGAGCCGATATACCAAAAGGGGTTGAACAGTTTGATCCAGTAAAACAAAGGAGAATTGCAAACATGTCAACAAATAGTAACAATTAATACTCGCTGTACAAGGGGTGACCATAGTGCCTCAGTGGCCTAGTAGATAACACCTCGGCACTTGGAGAGATGGGTACGAAGGTTCAAGTCGCAGTGGGAAGAACACCACTCCCAGTTGACGAGCTCTACGTGGGACGAAACGCGCATCCTGGATATCTCTGCTAGTCACAACCATGTGGGGCTGGTTACTAATGGAATAAGTATACACCTAGCAGACTCAATGTTCTAAATCACTTGAGGGGGGATTATCATTTGAAGAATCGTTATCTTACCTTTCCAAAGCCACCGATAAGCGGAAGGTGTTCTGAAGGATGGGTTCGCACAGTAATATTACATTTGAAGTCTCATTAAAGATGATGTACATTATATTATTGAAAACCGTGCTACATAGGTTGAAAGAAAATTTTCCTCTAAACATCTGTTTACCTTGAGGCAAATTTTACGATAGGACAGTTGTTACCTTGTCACTAATGTCTTCTCATTTGAATACACTACAGTTTACTTCAAAAAATGAAGTCGAAAGCATGATGTAACATACATAGTATCTAACCCTTCAGTCATCTTTTCGTAGTCCGATAATGGATGTTTGAAAAACTCATCGTAACTTGCTCAAGTGATATTTGTCCGCTTAATAAACGGTGAGTATTGTAGTGTAAATTGCAAAGTGAGTATTTAGTGAATATTGTTGTAACAGTTTAAAATGTCAGTAATATAACAAAATTCACAAGAAGCAATTGCGATAAATCACTGTTTGTAACTACTTGCAGAAGCTAGAAGTATTCTAGAATATTCAGCACTGAGCTAACTTTGCGACGCATATTTAATGGTATAAATACTCACGAATTTTCAGGTTAAAAGTTCACCTACTTATTAGTAGACAAATGAATTTACACTAATTTTTCCCTACGTCCAAGATTACTTATTCCTTTCATTGTATTATTTTAACCTACAGAACATCATTTCCTTCACTTGGAGCATCAGTTTCAATGTATGCAGCAATTTTCGTCACAGTAAGTCATTAGTTGTCAATCTCGTGGAATATATGCTTGGAAAGGATAGAATTCACCACATATATTGAAAGAAATTGTTTAATTTATTTGAGTTTTCATATGCAAACATGATAGATTGGTCAGTACATATCAATCCCTGTGACAGCCAGTAGCAAAACTAACCTCGCTACTAGCAGTATATGATTTTGTACAAAGTCTCACTTGAGCAAAGTTTGGTGCCAGAAAGTAATAATTAAGCTACAGTTCATTGAATATTCCAATTTAGACATATAGAAAAAAGACTGATTGAGCGAAGAAATATATTCCTTTCCAATTATGTCTTCGTCTTCGGCTCTATACTAGTTTTACAATTCAGTCAAAATGCCAAATAAGTCGTGGGAGGTTAGTGAGTGAGCAATAATTACAGATTCTAAGTAAGTCATGAAAATGTTAAGTTATAGAAATTAGGGTGCAAATAATTAATAGGTTAATTAAAATTGGTAATATGATGAGTGTTCAGTCATAAACAATAAATTATTACGCAACAATAAGAAAACAAATGTGGAATATGGACAGAAACAAGAGAAGGGAGAGTTTTACAAAGTAGTGCTAGAAGTTAAGTCACGGTAATGAAAGTGGTCGAACAAACTTCTTTTGAATACAAATGTTAGGTGTGTAAAGGTGGGTTACAATCTCTTCTGCTATGTGGAGTAAGCAAGTGCCTAATTCGTGTGGTAAGTTAACTTGAATGTGCCGAATAATTCTGAATGCTTTTTCAGTATCCACTTGATATCTCGTATCAACTAGGTGTACAAGTATGGAGCTCTTTATTGTTCTCATTTGTCCCTTGCTCAGCCATGATAAGTGGTGCTCGGAAATTCGACGTTGGAACTGTCTCATTGTACGTCCAACGTAACTTGCTCCACAGGAGCAGTTGACTTGATAAATTCACATGGAAGTAGCAGAGTCAGGCAGTTTGTCTTTATTTCTTCTACCTAGAATGACGCGGCTGTGGAAGAGAGGACATAATTTAGCGTTGTATGATAATCTCACTGGCAAAGTCACTCGTAAATTTCAGCTTCAAGAAAATTTGTTTCTTAGGTACTGTTGGCGTTCTTGTCTTAACCTTCGTAACATTCTTCTTAATTCCTAAAACTTATCATCTTCATGACTTACTTAAAATCTATAATTACTGCTCACTGACCCCCTATTACTTATCCGGTATTCTGATTGAATTGTAAATTATATATTAGTGTAGAGTCAAAGATGAAGACGCATTTGGAAAGGAATACATTTCTTCGCTCAATCAGTCTTTTCTCTAAACTGCAGTTACCAAAATTTTGACCAATGTCCTCTTAGATAAACAGTTCTACAGGTGCTATCCACGAAAAAGCCAAAGTGGAAACCGTCTTCGTCAAAAATTATCATATTCAGAAGCCGAATAGTTAGTTATCTTTGTGTTAAAGAGCCCAACTTGAGGAAATCACATCCCTATAGTAAGTTCTGCAATGATCAATAGTAATAGCCTGTGGAATAAAGAAATGAATGAAAACTAAAAACCAAAAGAAGTGTTAGACACTGAGAGTTAAACTGAACGACTTCACTTGAGAAATGGTAAACATTCAGCGGAAAATTATGCAAAATTTACTCCTTTTCTAGTTAGAGATCGGGTTTAAGATCGTCGTTAGCAAATAATTAACTCGTGCTTTGATAATAATGTCAAATACAAGTAACGTGACTTTGTGACTGGAAGGTGGTAAACTCTGATTTCATGAATTTCTAATTAGCAAGCAGCCTTGATTGAGGGATTTAACTGGTTCCGAATATAAACTCAGCGCACGTTGCTTCCTATTTGCTACTTGTCAGGTGGATGCACCTGCACCCTAGGGATTAGAACCTAGCAACGATGGCTTTAAACATCCCTAGGCCGGGTTCGCATGTGACTGATCGCCCATTTTGTTCCCCCTCCTAAAGCCTCCACAAAAGATAGGTAGTCAGTATCCTTCAATCTATACTATCTGGACCATGCGCATAGATACTGAAATTACATCCATATCGAATCATAACCCACAAAAATGGGACTGTTGTCATATACATAAAAAGGAATAGAACATAAAAATTAATGCTATTCAACATGCCACTTTTTTTCTGAACCGTGAGTCGCATGGATATACCTGAGAGTTAAGTAAAAACTATTGAGCTGAGGCATTCGGCAAGACCTTAAAATAAATCTTGAATAAAATGTATGTTTGATGGCCCTTCATAACAATCTCAGATTCCTATAGTTCTTTTCTGGTTCCTTCTTATATTCGAATATTACACAGGATAAAATATTTTAGCAACGAATTTAGTTAGCTACCTGACAGGTAGTCGAAAACTTGACTAATTTGTCTGTTATAGTGTTGAATAAGATTGCCAAGATCTCCATAAGAAGTTATAAATCTCTGAAGCCTTTCATAAGCAATTATTTTGCTTCAAAGTTTCGAGAAAATGAATATGAACCAATGTGTAAATACCAAATTGGTTGAACAGGAAAAAATCAGTAGTATGTACCATTTTCTAAAGGCCTTGAAAGAGTCAAGGTCATTATTGTATTTTGTTCATATTTTGACGCTACAATCTACCTTCTGTTATCTTACCAACTTTTCCGTCAACAAAGGAGCTGAGCAATCATCAAGGGTAGGATCTGAAGGCTACTGTATAAACGTCCACTCAAATACATATACTTAACCGAGGCTGTATCAAACTTTTGGCAATGCGTACAAATAGTGGGATTTTACTTCAAGTTGAAATTACTCTTCAGTCTATTGGAAAATTCATATTATGTCCTTCCTGGATGTGGCAATTATTTTTAAAAAGTCTTCTATTTTTCAGTGAACTGACCAATCTTTCTTGACGTGGTTCACTTTCTGTTATTTTCTAGGTTTATGTGACTGCATTGATGAAGAATTTCCGAGATGCTTGTCTTTGCATCCCATTTCTGTCACTGCTTGGTGTCAGCCTAGTCGCTCTTCTGCTTGGCATCAACAGAGTAATATACAGAAATAATTGGTTTGAAGACGTTTTAGCCGGTTGGATTATTGGAATTTGCGTTGCTATTTATGTGGTGAGCTGAAGACCTGCGTATAATTTTGTTGCTCAATTAAACTACTTTAATCAATTCAGGCTTAAAAATTGAGGATGGTGTTGCTTGTATTATCCTTAGTCGAGTGAACCGAATTGGCATATGAGCTACTGTGTGGATCGCTCGATACTACCCACACTTGTATTATGCATTACTGGCAGATAGTGGCTAGCAGAAGAATCCAGGACGTGCGTTTCGTGCTATTTGGGACTCGTCAGCCGGATGAACCTATACACCAGTGAGAGATGTTGTTTCAGATGACCAGTCTCAGATAGAAGGAAATATGCCTCAGGTAGGTGGGATGGTGAGTCACCAAAGTGCATGGAGTTATTGAAAATGAGTAATCAAGATTAAGGCTGAGATAAGCCTTTGAAAACAAGCATAGTAAATTTCAAATTCCACCCCTGATTCCTCGGAATAATGGAGCACTAAGATATGATGGCATATCTCAAAGTTTACCAGGTGAAATAATTCATTGATGCATATATATGCGTACTGACACTGACCTTAGTTGTTTCCACACCCTCTTGGAAAGACATTCTCTACCGGTCTTTTTCTTTCACTCAGACTGGCATTTAAGTGTATAACCACTTTTCTTTTCTTAAAAATAAGGAATATGTCGATTTACTGTAAGAGTCCAGAGATTCTAGGCTTCTTTAAAGCTTTTGAACAAGATTATAGCTCAACATAACAAGCAGCATTGTAGTTTTTCGAAAAAGCTAACAGTTACTAAACAACAGAAAGATGAATATCTGAAGCCAGTTAACTGGACAATGTGGGTAGTACACAGGATTTGTTAGGACTACTTTCAAAGCTTGAAATTAAAGCCATTTTGTTCACCACAGTGTTCTGTTACAGCCTGCAGTTTTAATTTGCAAGATATTGAGGTATTTTGCCGTTCTCCCCTGCATACCATATTTTGTGGCATTTAAAATCACCGCTGTGTGATAACCCACTTGTCCAGAAAACAAGAATAAATTGTAATATATTCCGAATGGAGACAGTATTCACGCTCAACTGATAGCTAACTTCGTACGCAAGAGCCACCGACTGCAACTCTGGACAAACAGAGAAAAAGACCGGAGCTGGGTTGGAAAACATGTGAATATTCAATAATAATATCGTTAGGGTTCGTCAGGAAGTCTGACAGTGCTTCCACTTTGTTGTGTATTCAATGGAAAGTCAGCGAGTTTTAAACTTTTAAATTAGTTGAGACTGTTGTGACCGAGTGGTGGGGTTGCTCGCATGGGTATAATGATACTGAGACTCAATAAACATCTCAACCGAATACCTTTACGACTGACCTCCCTCAGTACCTTCTGCTTCACTGAGCCGCAAAGAAATCAAAAGACAAAGACTGCCTGTGACCGCAAGAACAGCAACAACCTTTACCATGCAAATACATGACATATATGTATTTACACAACTCTCAGAAAGTGAAGCCATAAATGAACCAGTCCGATTTCTTGTATGAGATCGAACTTTTCCAATCAGGTTCTCAGGTCAGCGCATGCATAAATCATGACCTGAACATGAATTGATCATGACTTGAAAACAACTCCCCTATTGGCTGCCTTTTGTCGCTACGTATCAGATTCCCAACAGGTTGAGATTAGTATCACTAATATATCAAACTTCATAAAAATTAGAATTACTAAATGGAATACAGCAGTGTAATTAACCAACCAGTTGAAGCTTACCACCCATGTCTCGTTGTCAAAATTTTTGGCCAACCAAAATTGGGCCATAATTCTTGAGAAATCATGTGATATCAGACACTGTTTCTACTTGGAGACATGCAGGTTGACCATTTTTGTTAAGCGTTATATAGTTCAGCTGTAATGGGCTACTAATATGAAAAGTTGCCCTGATGCTGAGGGAGATTGTTATTGATCGACGTCGAGATAAGCTTCTTTTCCTGTTAGCTGGGCTTTATTGACGGCAAAGCTCATTCTTATGCCCCAAAGTATGACAATGGCAACACCTGTGTTGTTTGAAGAGGCACGATTTTACATAATGCCTATCTCCAAAATGCTAACGTGATGATGGTGGTTTACGCTGAGTACTATTTGTGGGGCGCTGTACTGCATTACCTGATGTAGATCTAGGTGTGGATACTGATTGTTTGATAGCATTCACTTTTGTAGAGCTCTGGCCACCAGTCTGTATCAGGGTGGTATCTTAACGTACATTCGTTAATCGCTGATATTCCTAACCAGTGTCAGCTTCAGGCCTTGTTCCAGATGATTCAGCAGGTGAGTGCATATATCCGCGAATTTCGGAGACTGAAGAGCACATATAAATATGAGTACTTTGAATTGATCGTCTGTTAGCGACTTCAACTTGAATTGTCCACAGGCTTTATTCACAATCCAACCTGGGTATGGATGTCATCAGCTTCATGCAATGGTAACAGACATTGGAAAGTGAACGATGTTCTCCAAACTGCTAGCGTAGCGTTTCTACTGTTTGCTAAAATGTTCTGTCGCATGGGTTCTGTAGAAGTTATATATTTATATGGGGTATCTTCAGAGTCTGACAACGCATTTTGAATTGTTCTACATTTTAGAGTTTCAAGGTGTTATACAATCGAGACAAACTGAGTGATTTAACCAATCACGATTTGAATCGTCGTTTACACAAAATTCAGAGTTTACTTCAAACTCACAATGATTACAAGCAATCTGAGGTAAGCTGAGCACAAAGTTTGTCAACTTAAAAAAATTACTTTTCATTTTAAGATAAAACATTGCAGACAATTAATGCCCCCTTCGTAAACAAAATGTCGCAGTACTCAAAATAGCCGAACAGGCTCGATTAGGCTACCCATGCACAAAAACCTAGCTAGATCAAAATCGGCAGATCCTAGTAAGATAAGAAACTAGAAAAAAGTTGTGCCATAGCTACATTTCAATCACACACAACCATACAATAGGATAGGAACTGCGTGAAAATCCTTTAGACTAACTTGGTAGGGTAGACGGAGAGATGGATAAATAAATCTGTGCTCATCCAATCAACATCAAATACATACAACAGGGGAATGATTCAGCATAGATGACTTCAAAGGCCACCCTGCCACGACTTAAATAACCAATTACGTTTCGTCCTTTTGGATAGGAAGGCAGATTTTAAGTAAATAATGTAGTCTAACTGCTTGTTCAAATTGTTGCTAGGATGGCCTTTAAAGTCATCCTTCAGTATCTGTCTCAGACATATGAAAAATCCGGGTTACTTTAGGGGCCACCCTAGCAACTGATAAAACAGCCAATTACATTCCTTTATTTTGTGGAAAAATACATCTTCGAGCCCAATACCGAAGCATGATAGGTCATTTCAGCAGTTGCTAGGTTGGCTTTTAAAGTCAGTCAAAGATCCTACTACCCATATCACAAAGGTGGCAAAGAAACTATGACTGTATAAAGGATGTCTGCCAGGGCAACGTACTTCTGCAGAGGTTAAATGTAATTAAATGATGAAGTAGCCTGAAACCACATATCTACATTCACATACTGGGTGGTGATTGAAGGGAAAATGAAAATTTTGGTCACTGTAGGGTTTGAACCACTAAAATCTGAGTTACTGGCCCAGTGGTCCGTTAACTGACTTTCAGGACTAAACTGTAGGCTAAATCTTACTTTCACTTCAGTCGACAAGGGTGATACTTGTGCAAAGCTTGCGTGCACCGGAGACAGAATGTATTCTTGTAATTTGATGAAACTGTTTCTGGCTACGAAATCTGTAGTACGGTATATTTCAGTAACCATTGTTAGTCAAGCCTCCTAAGAAGTGAATTCACACTAAGGATTTAAACTAGTATATTGTTGAAATGTCATTAAATAAACGTTTTCTTTCACTGAGAATGTCGCGTAGCATGGCTATCAGGATACATACTTGCTTGATGATAGACTAGGTTGGTCCACATTTCCTTACTTCTGTCAGTTCGTGACATACCGCTACCATCGTACGATTCCGTCGACAAGTCATTGACTTAGTTGATCCCACAGATTATGGCTTCACATTACAAGTTCAAGAAGTCCATCTCAAATCAAGTAGCTAGTGAACACTATGGAGTCAACCTAGTAGGGATGAGGAACAACACTTGACAATGGCACCCGATGATGGTCTCCTGATATCGCGGATTGAAAAAAGTCGAAGAAATTTTTAGCATTGGACTCTGACCCAGAGACTAAACGATATCACACTCGATATGACCTTCCTTGTCGTTTGGGTGTACTTTGCCGAGAAGACCAGTTATCGAGGGAAACAGTTAACCACCTCTCACACTGAAGAAACAGACAACTTACCGAGTTAACACTTACCACAGACACCTGGAATGGTACTGGTTGTATATAGTACTCCTTGCACTCACGCAGCTATTTGCAAATGTCTTCGTTTTCTCTCCGTTCCTGTCTTGATTTGATCTTGACCGGCTCTTCATACACTCTTATCAGCAGCATCCCCTGTAATACGCCTGTGTTGTCCCCTGCGTTGCTCTTGGCAGAAACCTTACCCATTGCCGGTAATTCCCTATGATTCCTGCCACCGTCTCGACATATACTACTGATATACTTTGTTATCAGCAACGCCCACTACAACAGGTGTCAGTGAAGTGATCACTGAGTCGGATACTTCAGCAGTTCACTACCTCTTATTCACATTGACTAGGCAGTGACAATTAGCTGTAAACTGTAGAACAACGCCAGTTTTATCCTTCATTATTATTATTGTTTTTCCCTTGGGTTCCTAGTGGAACATACGGCTTCAGTAGAACGCCTCCATTGCACTCTCTTCTCTGCAGTCTTTTGAACCTGGCTCCACCACTGTCCACAGGCTTTCATTTCTTCCTCCTATGATCTCCTCTATGTCACCCTCGCCTCCGATGCCCAACTCGTCGTTTCTCCTTTGGATTCCACTCCACGGCCTGGCCTGGCTAGTGATGTCCCCAATCAGCCTTCTCAGTGTTACCTTCCACTAGACATTAGTAATAACTAGTTGTATTTCAAAAGACTTTTAGCCTCCCAGTAAAACACCATCATAGGAATACTCACTACCACATATGCTGCTAAATTGTATTCTGCGCTACCAGTCCATACATCTGAATTTTCAATACTGTTGGCAGGTCACAAAGATTCATCAGGTAATATCAACTGCTGAACAATCGGTAAAGAACCAGCTGGAGACTGGAGAGAAAAGAACCACTTCATTGAACAATATATCGACTCAGTCTATGTAGTTTACAAGAAGAAGCTTAAAAACAGTATAAAATCATCAAGATAGGAAAATGCTCATATCATCAGTGATAATCCCTTTGACGTGTTCCGGTCGAAAGACGTGGAAATTAAAATTTCGTACAGTTACAGGTCGATTGTTTCTGCTAATTAGTGCTAATTACTATAACAGATTACGTCAACTATTGTTAAACTTCTAGCTGGTGAAACTGCGTTGTATTTTCGGCCATCCCCGCTTTTTAACCCCACTCTATCGATGACATGCAACCTTTAAGCTCTTAATTGTTAACCTTTACTGTGTGTATGTGTGTTTTTTCTCTCTCCTATTTTCAGCTGAAAATGATGAAATACTTGTGACCAATAGACATTCAGGTAATGATTACAATTTTAACTTTCTCAATAAATGTTCTTACCGTAACTCTGACCTCTGACAAATATCTAAACTGAAGGGTAGTTTTGTATCCAAATTGTCTCGGATAAACTTTGTTGACAGATTATAGTCTACATGGAAGGGATTATTAAACTTTGTGCTAGGATAAGAATGTACGAAATCTCTAAGTGTGTAAGGCCCATATTAGTAAAATTATAACTGCAGGTTATTAACATTGTATCCTTTCAACTTGTGTATTTTTGCCGATCACTTTTCAAATTGATCACTTACATGTAACCAGGTGACTCCAGATGACGAGACTCGAAGTGGAAGAAACATATCCCTTGGGTTATACTGTCAGCTACACCTCTAAGTAGCCTATAACAAGTTTGACTAGTTGTATACCTCCGGATAAGAAGGTATAAAAATATGAAAATTGATAAACAGGTTGAAATTCACATGAGAAAGCATGAGAATTGTAAACTAAAGCCTTTTCTTCAAAGTTATTGGTTAATGACTTGCATAACTATGGAATAATAAGATACAGATTGTTTTCGATGCATAACTGAGTATTATTTCTTCAGACGCAATGTACGTCAGACAGAATAAAACGTCTTTTAAATCGAAGTACTATGGCAATAATGTGGCGCCTACAATTCAACACTAGATCTCGATAAAAAGCATATAGTACTCAATGAGACAATAGATTCATCATATGTATAGGAGAGGGGAGAGCAACGAACTGTAAGAGAGAGAACACTAACCCATACCTTTAATAGTTGATACTTTAATCTCAGGCGGGGCATCAATTCCGTCGAGGTTGGTGATACACTTTGCTGATGAGTGCCAAAAAAAGCATGAAACCAAGGTTCGAGGTATCCTGACAATTGACTCAATCCAATGAACATAATTTACTAATCGATACAAGTAAATGCGTGTATCATGGAAACATTGAATTAAAGTGATAGGCAAATGGTGTAAGTGAATAGTTGTCTGGTTTACTAGTGAGAATTACTGCTCTGACTGCTTAGAGTGACTAATCAGTGAACTTTTATGTAGATTTATTTGATGATTGCAAAGCAATATGTAAAAAAAAGGCTTAAAAAGACGCCCTACTCTATGAACTACAGATGTAACACAATTTGGTGACCAATGCGTAACTGATTCAACTGCCTAGTCTCTAGTGTACATCAACAACTGAAATGTGTAGATCAATTTTGTAATATGGTCAATAAGCTAGGCGATGTGACACTAATGGAGCACTGTATTTTAGAAGTTCAGGGTTTTCTACCGATTGACTCTCGGCATCTGATAGTGAGTTTTTAGTCAATTAATAATTACAGGGTAGCGTTTTTTTTCCACTAATATAAACTAGTGTGGAAATTGTATACAAGATTTGTAGGTCAAAATGAGTGAGAAAAGTGTTTTGTGTTCTTCAAGCATCTATGTTTCTCCTTACAGTCTTCATCAGCACCTACAGGAATTTCAGAATTTTGACTATACATGTTATGAAAGTGAATTTTAAAAATCTCAGGTGTAATAATAATCGATAAACAGTTCTATTTTTTTTAAAAAAGGTTATAATTTAGTGATTAGACTTATCAGACGTTTCGTAGAATATGCATGGGAAATCGAAATTTATTCAATGAAATCGATGGTTATACCTTGTAGCTATTTTCTACGACTATCAGTCACGACAAAATCGAGTAAGGTGTTGCTTTATATCATACTGAAAATGGGTAGTGGTATCGAGATTTAATTGTGGTTGTCCCTCAGTATTTGCTATTTCATAACATGCCACCATCACCGTCTGATATCTCTGATGAGTCTATGTGTGTCAGTATTTCAAAACACTTCCGCCGCACATTCGACAGTATCCTATTCAATATTCACATCCTGCCTATTAAAAGCAAGTTTTGAATGGGCTAAGAAATTACTACTGAAGGATAACTGCATCACATATTGGATATAAACTCTTCAACAGTCAAGCCACATAGCTTGCTATTCAGAGGGTCAATAGGTAAATGAGAATAGCATTCATCTTTTTAAAAAAACGAATTATCTTGGTATGAAGTGATTTTGATCCGGTGTCATTGATGGGCATCTGTCATCACTCTCACCTTATTTAAACCCTTGGGCCACTAATGAGTGCTCGACTAGAGTTTATTGATGGATAGTAGAGACTGGTCGATTTCATCATAGGCTAACATCAACTGAAGAACCATTGAAATCCTGTAAGCTGTGAACAACCGTTTTGTCCTAGTTCGGGACTCCTCAGCAGTTTGCCTTCTAATTCAGGACCTTCAGGCCCCTCGGCTAACACGTCACCATTGAGCCACTGGATAGGGATACAGCATTCTAGATTTTATACTTCTGTCAGTTCACGGTATAGTACGACCTCCAACCAATGTTGTCATTGAGTAACTATCATCACGTTCGACTTGATTGGCCCCATCAGTCAAGACTTCTCACTAGAACCTCAGAGATCATATCTCAAGGCAAGTCACCAATGGCTACTACAGTAATTCAATTTGGAGGTTTGTGGGGATTTATTTATTTATTTAAGGTATTCTCTATGAATTGACATCAGCTGGAAAAACACTGGACACCTGCGAGCACTGAACAGCTGTTTCGCCCTAGTACGGAACCCCTCATGACCCCGCCAGGGATACATGATGAAAATTAATCTAAAATGAATGAATAAATCCAAACTAATTGCCAACTTGGTAATACAGAACTGCATCGATTAGTCTCTACCGAAATAGCCAATTTACACAGTCATAACAACCCACATCCCCTCACAAATCTATTGAGTTTTACCATATTCATTTCATCCTATTAACTCATTCAAATTTATTTTATTCAATTGATGATTTCTTCATTCACATATTAGCGTACAATGAATGGAACAGTTTGATGGAATTAATCAGCTCATTTCTGAAGATGTTCATTGTGACGATACTTTATAACTGCTTGTCTAGTCAATTAAAATAGCCTCATTCCTATTCCTATCATAAATACATTCAATTCTCCGCATATTTTAAAGTGTAAAATTGTTTATATATACATACATACCGGCCAATCATCTCTCACGTTACGCCCACGCACACTGAATTCATTCTCACATTTATCGATTACCTTTAAAATAGTCTTAAATAGCAATTTTAAATGAATGACAATCATTACTATCGAGCAGCTAAATAACCTATTACTTACTAATATGCATAAGCTGATGTCAGGATAAACACAAGTCCATTTAAACATCTGATCTATTTTTAGCCAAAAATATTCCCTTATAGGTATTATTACTGTGGTTTTTGTTTAACCGGTTATTAAAATTTTTAATCTTTGAATTATACTTGTAAACTGTTATATTTTAGTCATTTTTCTTTTTACAAAAGCAATCACTTCATTTTTATGTCAACTGACTGGAAAATTTCTGAAAATATGCTGATATAGTTGTAAAAAAAAGTTTATTTAACATGAAAAACACTTCTGTAGTCATAAAAAAAAGCATAAAAACAATTTATTGCTTTTATAAGACTGTTTTGTAATCAGATAATCTAGGAGTTTATGTTTCATCGTTGAGAATGATGATCAAGTGTCAGGAGATCGCTTGTTTCCGCTTCAATTAGTGGCCATGAGGAAAAATACTCAACAATGACTCTGAGTGATGGCTGCGTTATGTCTTGAACTCGAAATACGGACTGTAGATTCCGACACGATGGTTCAATGTTAACTTGCTGACTACGGAATTTGAAGATTATAGGCTCGATCCCTTGTGGGGCAGGATCATGAGTGCGCACTGCTGAGGAGTTCCATACTAGGAGGGAACAGTTGTCCAGTACACCCAGGTTTCCAATGTCCCTTCAACTCATGTCAGTCAATGATGGTTACCAAGTTGAAAAATCATTAAATCTCAACAAACCCCCAAATTAAATCAGTTAAATGTTGTAATTCAACAAAGAATACCTTCAGTAACTGTACAACCATACAATAAAAAGGAAAGTGATCCAATAGAGAGGTTTCTGAGGATTTGTGTATTGATTTCAAGTTGGTACTCATCACTTGGAGAACCATTGAAAACTTGCCACGACTGGATAAAAATGGGAAGTCAATTGTTGGCTGTTAGGTCAGCGTTACTTTATTGGAGAAGGAATTCTTCTTCTTCTTCTTCATCAGTCATAATGCAGTTACATAGTAATGGGAGGTATCTGGAGAAGGATGTAGTTAATTGCGACAAAGACTTTTAAGCTTAAGAAAAAGGGAACTCGAAATCGAAGTCTCTGATGTTATACCTTGTAAATCTCTATCGTCGATAGGACCGAATTGATAGGCTAATAGTGGTACATAGTTCCTGTGTGGATGGCTCAGTATTGCTGGCATTAATGATGGACAGTGACTGGCAATATGATCAAGGACACTCATTTCTCCCTATTTGAGACTTGTCAGGTGGATTTATCCAATGAGTGATGTTGTTCCCGCTGAGACTCAAACTCAGAACCGGTCACCTAAAGCTTCAGAGGGTTATCCACTAGGCCAGTGAATCATAACTGCCATTCCTGAGGAGTTCCAAATAGAACGAAGCACACCACCTGGATTCCACTGCTAGCCACTATCCATCATTAATATCAAAAACTAAAAATACCGATAGTATCGAGGCGTCTATGTAGGGGCCATTATGCCTGTGATGGCCGATCAGTTCTGTCTAATCAAAGACGGATACTTACAAGCTATAACATCAAAAAACCATGCTATCCCCGCAGCACACGATGTGACTACCGTAACTCAGTGGCCAAGTGGATGACTCTCTGGCGTTCGAAGCAATCGATCCTGAGTTCGAGTCTCAGTAGGAACAAAATCACTCACCCTGAGGTAAGCACATCCAGCTGACGAGCCCCAAATGGGACAAAACCTGCGTCCCGGATTCTACTACTATTCACCATCAAACAATAACGTCAAATTAGAAATCAGAGTACAGTATTACAAGACCTTAGTGAGAAATTGGAACCAACACGCATGCACGCAAAACAGTAGGCCACAAAGTAAGCAGAAACACAATAATCAGTCATTTAGAGTGAAATGATTACTGTAGCGGTGAAGGAAGTCAGGGATGGAATACGACTGAGAGGAAATCAAGGATTTCAATCGCCTCTTTTAAACGCATAGCTTGGGCTTTATTTGTTAGTTTGCCAACATCTTTGCTATACAAAACTGATAAATCAATACTATTTTTGAACAATTAACTATGACTATATACAGGATTAAAAAAGGAAGACTTTGACGAACACTACGATAATAACCAGCAAAACGATCCATAATGCTGCTGTTACTTGATCAGCATTCTCCTCTACTCAGTTAAGCAGGATACTGCTTGAAAACACGGTCTGCATAACCAGTTCAGTTAGATCACGTATACAGAAAGTCTAGACTGACCTACATACCGTAAAGCTGATGAAAATGATTCGTTAAAATGAAATCCCCTTCATTGAATTTCGTTTTGTTAAACTTAAAATGTATTTCCAGAAGATTATGTCATATAAAAATCCCCATAGTGTATGAAGACTTTTTAATGGTTTTACTGGAAAGAGAAAACTCAGAAATGAAACCTGTGAAAACTTGTGTACATTAAGCGAGTTATTCATACGTAAACCCACAAATGTTATCCTATCTAGTTTTTCAAGTGTTCAAATACCTAAAATCATTAAAACTTTTTCAATGCCCCGGACCAGATGATATGCTTGGTATTCTTTTCATGAAATGTGCTTATATTCTATACCATCCACTCATACAGAATTTTAGTGGGTTTTTTGGAGAAACGACGTACCAACTACCTGGAAAGAAATTAAAATGGTTCCGGTACCTATGTCCGTATCTACTGGAGCAAAAGTGAAATTCTGACTGATTGCAGTCATCTCCCCATTCCAAAAAACAGTGGAAAAACTATGGCTTCGTGCTCCTGAAACTCATTTGAAGGCTTTTAGAGATTCAAAAAAATTTGCCTACAAACCCAAAAAGAGTACCTTGAATGCTGTAGTTGTTTTACATCACATTATCTTCGCCAGTCTGGATAAAGGCGCTAAGTATGTTAGCTCTGCCTTCTTAAATTATACTTCTGCCTTTGACTTTATCCCTAGACCCCCCTTATTAAGCAGGCTTACCAGTACTCGAATTGAGTCCTGGATTGTAAACTGGCCTTATTCTTATTGCTCTGAGAGAAGACAGGACATTAATTCGCTGCTTAGTGAAGCCGGTGTGCCTCGAGGTACTGTTCTTTCTCTTTTCCTTTCTTCTTTCTTTTGCATGACTTACCAAACTCAACTAAGGCTGACTTTGGTAAGTATGCTAATGACCTGACAGTATCTATCTATGCCGATCATCTCCTCTTCTGAATTTTCTCAGTTTAGTAGCTTCTTCAATAAAATTGGTCACTGATCTCCCTTAAATAGTCTCACACTTAATCCCTACCAATGTCATATGGTTAATTCTAGCTCAAGACATATTGCTTCAGTCTGAAGATTCTTGTTATACAGAATATAGCAAGCTTGGTTCATCTTGACTGATGCTTTTCTTCTGGTGTTTTTTGATCCGCTCATATCTTACTGATTTCTAGGGAAATCCTTCACTTGATCTTTTATATTACGGAACTAAGACTGTCTAGCATAACTCAGCCTCTACGCTGACGTTTCATTAACTCTTGCATTTTGCCTTTATTAGCTTGTTGTTTCCCCTTATTCTTTCCTGGACTCCGAAAAAAGAATACTTTGTATTGAGTAGAGCAAGTAGCACACCCCTAACCGAGTTGATAAATGCAGTGGCGGATAGGCATGTGAATTCTTGTAGACTACCGGCAAAAAATATTTTATTTGATGAAAACCACTCTCTGCATCCGCATCCCTCTCTATGTCTGTCATCTGGGAAGACAAGAAGTAAGTATTATTAAACTCTATGCACGCACAACCATATACAAAACTTAAACCAATCTTGTTAGACATTGTCTTATCAAATCAATTTTGTAATAGCCAAAAGTTATCATATCCCTGAAGTCATTAAATATTTCAATAATTCTGTAATTCGTTATTATATATATTGTTAAACAGAACCATTTTTAATGTTTTAAAAATGTTGTACAATGGGTAAATTAATGTAATATTACACGCTGATAATGCTGTACTGTTCCTCGAATAACTGATTACTTCCAAAGGGTTTTCACTAAGGATCAAAAGTGGCCACAAAATAAAAAACTATTTTAAATTAGAGACACCGAGGAGCTGTTACATCCTGCTTCATCACGGGTGAACCGATGATCAGATCTTAATGTGAAGCTTCCGGATTCAGGGTTAAGGTCAAATATCTCATGTTTCCAAATTTCAAATATTGAGTAACTTTCATTTAGGTGTTGATTCCGCATATCTACCCTCATACTTAAATTAAGTGAGCACATAGCTCATGGTTTTCGACTAGAAGTTTGAAAAACTCATCTTGAGGTAGACGGTTTGTGAGTAGTCAGTTTATATTTAGTTTAGGGATCTATCAGAAATTGATTGATTTAAGTTAAGGCTTAGTTTCTTATTTGAAACACGTTCACACCGGAGATAAATAATATGCTATCATTCATTTTGAAGTGATGGAAAAAATTCGTAGTCCAGTATGAGGAGGATGGTGGTTTGGTGTTCTACTCACTTCAAATATAGCTGAATACAGGTCTCTATATTTTTGCTGTTTACCCTTTTACAGTGTAAAACAATGTGACCTTCGCAACACATGGTAGTATAAAGGAGATTTACACCATGAGATAGATGATGAAGCAACAATCAATCTTGTGAGTAAACTGAAAGGAATTTCCATGACTAATTTGTTTTTTATTTTGGATTAGAGTTGTAGTTTGACACTTGTAATCCCCTATTGATATACTGGGTCGAACTGCTCGACTTTAATTGGCAGATAGGTTCCTATGTGGATGCACTGATACTACGCGATTATGTTGTAGTCCGCTTGGTGACTAGAAATGGAATCCATTATGATCGTTTCGTCCGACTTGGAATTCGTCAATTGGACGTATCTGAACCCCAGTGTGAGATGTTATTCCCACTGAAACTGGAATCTTGTACCCGTGGCTTCAAACTCTGAGGCGTTGTCCACTAGACCACTGGGGCATGACAGTTCTTCATATACATTTGTCCGTGCTTCTCCTTCATGATGTATAAGTGGAACAATAAAATCTCCTGGTGCGACTAGTATACTTTAGGTTGTATTCATTCGTCGGGGATACAAATCGACGTGTAAAATCATACGTAAATTTTTCTTAACGTACATATGCTTTGGTGAGTATTCCGAAGAACAGTTGTGGAGGATATTCAAGATGAGTTCCACATAATATTCTCTGCTTCTAAGCGTCTATGATTTCTAAATATTCCAGAAAAATTTGAATTCATTGTATGAATCGACTTTCTCTACAGGAATTTACTTGAGACTTCATGATACAAATCTGTTTCAGGTCACTCTGAATTGTTTGAGCAGTTTTCGAATATAGTTTGA